ATTTTAGCTTTTTTGATCACGCTTTTGTTTACCTGAAGAAGGGACCAATTGGTTCCGAAACGTCGCTTTAGGAATGTGACACTACTATGGTCAATAAAGGAGATTGACTATAATTTGAAATGGAGTGCAAGTTACTTTTTGACTTATGTTTGATATGCAGAGGCATCTGCAGTCAATTCTAGCACTCTCGTGACTTTTTTGTGGGTTCAATCCAGTCAGGAGTGCGATGGGATCTACTATGTATTAACCCCTTCATGACTGGAGACGTACACTGTAGTCCCCAGGATGAAGTGCCCAAATGACTGACCATGTACACTGTACGTGATCAGCTATTTAAAGCTTTTAAAAGCCGGTAACCTGGTGAGATCAGCGGTTACTGTTCATTAACGGATGCCTCAGTATAGTGGCACTCATTAATAAAGGAATTAAGCTTTGGCTCCTAAGTTTTAAGCAGCCTAATAATAACCAAAAATGTTAAAACAATTTATTAAATCATCAAGCAGGCATAGTGGCTGCTTAATATAATAGACAAAAAAGTGGAAAAAATGGTATATAAAAAAAGTGTAAAGAATTAAAAATAATTTAACAAAATAAAAGTTATATGTACAAATATATTTTATCCTATAATTATTATACAAATTATCCCCTTATAATGAAAATCTGCAGCTGTGCTGCAGCTCTGTTTCTCACCCTAAGGGGTTAATTTTTCTATTTAACCCTCTCATTATGGCATTGTTAAAAGTATGTCGTAGTTATTGACACTTGGTTACAGTGACATTGTAGGCCACCTAACCTAACCCCTATGAGGTTTTAGAGAAAATAATAAAATGTTAGCTTTTTGTTTTTAGGCCCAGAGGTACAAAAAAAAATTCTCAAATCCTCGAGATGTGATGTGTTTCCAAATAAAGGACAAATAAATGAATTTATTTGAATGCATTTTTTTAGCTGTGCTATTTTTTCTAAAATACAATAATCAAAACTGGGGGAAAAAGTGTTTTCTTCTTTACGTTTGTTCTTCTTTTTTTATATTTTATTCATCCTAAGTGAGGAGTTAGGCATACATATGTGATATAAATACATAGCCTTATCTGTCCTCTAAAAAAGGATATAATATGTGTGGGTGCACTTAGTAAGAAAGTAAATTACTGCCGTGGAAGAATCACACCGCAAAAACGTAAAAAGTGCTTCAGTCATTAACGAATGGAAACTGAAAAAAAGCTCAGTTTTGAAGGGGTTAAAGCCTAATTTAAGTTACAGAAATAGAAATGTAGTCAGATAAACATTGTGCCTACAACCCCCATGTTCATAGTTTTGTTTCCACTTACCTCTACAGCAACTTTGCTGTGAGTCAGAATATAACAGTACAGTTCAATAGGGACTAGTGTTAAACCCACTTCTCTTTGTCACATAATGGTCACAATCTTCCACCTAGAGCCGGCACGAGTGCACATGCAGCTCAAGCGGCTGCCTGAGAGCGCAAGTGGGTGGGGTTGAGGAATCAGAAAAATGGTATTACCTGGCCAGCAGACAAACGGCCTCAGATCAGGGGCGGACTGACCATTTTGCATTTGCACACTGAACAAAAACACGGTTTTATGCAAAGTATGACACGCGAGAGCTCCCCCCCCCCGAATTATAGAAGGTATAGAAGGTGGTACAGTCCAGGATTCTGGCAGTGTCTATTTGCACACACATGATAAAATCAGAATTTTTGGTTCAAAAACAGCTTCAAACCCCCAAACAATTATATATTTTCTGAAAGCAGAGGCCGTGTAGAATAACAAAATGCTAGTTGCAATTTTTTATGTTGCACGATATTTGCGCAAATGTTTATCAAACCAGTATTTTTAGGATAAAATACACTAAAATTAAATTTAGTGCACAGAAACAGAATATAATAACCATTTTTTTGGTAAAATATAAGAGACGGGTCACTCTGGGTAAATAGATACCAAACATGTCAAGCCTTAAAATTGCGTGCGTCCGTGAAACCTCAAAAAACTACAATACCCAAAACTTCCCATAGGCGATGGTTTAAAAGCTTTTACTGCTCATCAGTTTAGCTTTACCAGTGATTAATGGCGCTAGAATTATTGCTCTCACTCCAACGTTCGTGACGATATGTAACATGTGTGGCGCAATTTTCGTTGCACATAGGCGCACCTGACGCGTGTTTGCGTTATATGTGCATGCCTGTGGGGGGCGGGGGACTTTAAAAACATTTTTTTTGCATTTATTTTATATGTTATTTTCTGGGGGTTTTTCTTGTTTTTTTTTACACTCAACTTTATTGCTATCACAGAGGGGGCTAAGAAGTCCCCTATGTAATAGCAAATATAATGTGACAGGTCCTCTTTATGGAGACATCAGGGATCTTTCAGACCCCTAATGTCACCTAGGGACCCCAAAGAAGCAGAGATCTGCTTCCCTAGCTTTTTCTCCTGGGTCTAACAGCCGGAGAATGTGCACAGTGACACCGGAAGTGATGTGATGCACATCATTGTATGCAGACGCAGCAGAGGGATGATGAGGGGGAGAGTGGTAGCAGAGGGGAGTTGTGGGAGCAGGGGGATATCGGGGACAGTGGGACCAGAGGGGAGATCTGGGAGCAGAGGGGATGTGAAGGACATTTTCACTAGAGGGAAGATGTGGGAGCAGAAGGGAAGTTGGGGAGAGTGGCAGCAGAGGCGATATGGGGGAGAGTGGAAGCAGAGGAGAGATGTGGGAGTAGAGGGGAAAAGGGGGACAGTGGGAGTAGAGGGGACATGTGGGAGAATCTTAGAACAGTAGAAAGGCATCATGGCACACTCACAAACTAGCATGTAAAACAGGGAGAATCTGTCCAGATTTACTCATTACAGCCTACCCAGTCTATCACTGGTTTGTCACCATCCCCCACCTAGGGCCGGCACTAGTGCACAAGCAGCTCAAGTGGCTGCCTGGGAGCACCAGTGGGTAGGGTGGGGGGAGGGCAGAAAAATTGTATTACCCAGCCAGCAGACAAACGGCCTCAGATCAGGGGTGGACTTACCATTCAGGTGATGTGGGGGACAGTGGAAGCAGATTGGAGATGTGGGAGCAGTGGAGATGTGGGGGACAGTAGGACCAGAGAGGAGATGTGGGAGCAAAGAGGATGTAGGGGACAGTGGGAGCAGAGGGGAGATGTAGGAGTAGAGGGGATGTGGAGGACAGTGTGACCAGAGGGGAGATGTGGAAGTAGAGGACAGAAGTAGCAGAGCGGAGATGTGGGAGCAGAGGGGATGTGGGGGAGAGTGGAAACTCAACTGCCCTGATGAGACCCTCCGCATCTGCCCCTGCTGCGGCCCTGTCCGAGACATTAAGCCGGCACCTTGGAGCAGAATGGTAGCATATTGCTGTATAATGTATTGGTGGGATTTGTAGTCATCTATAGCTGATGGTATTCTGCATTGTTGTGTAATGCATTGCTGGGATTTGTAGCCATCTATAGATGATGCAATTCAGCTTTGCTGTGTAATGTTTTGCTGGGATTTGTAGTTCTCTATAGATGATGGTATTATTCCTCAATCACAGAACTACCAGGGTTGCAACTGTGCCCTGGCTGTGGCGCTCCACCATTGTCCTAAAATCATTAATCTGTATTATTTTAGAAAAACTGTCACACGACACTTAAAAAAGGTGACGGTAATTGGTATAGGTGAGTACTTTAGGAAAAGTATCTATACTTGTACTCGGTCTATTGCCGCTTTCCTACTCCCATCCATGCCCTTCCCAAGGTACAGACATGTAGTAATATGGACTACAAGTGCTGTGCATAGGGAGCTGTCTGAGGGCGACGGATGGGGTGGTGGTGGGGGGTCTGTGTAGGTAAAAGTCCTTGCAGCGGTCACCGGCCACGACCACTTCATATCCTTTGGAAGATATGATGCTTTGTTGGTTTGAAATCAAGAAATGAAAAGTATTTTAATTTCTATATCATAAGGAAGTGTTCCAGGAATGTATTACATAATTCTCCAGTTCCTCTTATTTAGAATTCAGAAGTATTTGTAATTGTTAATGCTCTTATGTCTGTTTCCTTATTGCAATAACATTTCTAATAAAAAAAGAGCTGGCACAAATGATTTAGTTGGTTAGCTTTGCATGCCTAATCTAACAATAGTGATAATATTCTGATAGCGTGCAATACCTCAAGTTAACTTAATAGAACTTTTCTTGGCCTATGCTGAGGAAAGCTGATATACTGTACTGTTGCTTGCCTTGCGTTGTCTCACTATTGCATTTCCCACCATTTTATTTGAAACATTTACATAATGACTGAAGTCATTATGTAAAATCCCTGCACTGATTCCTCTCATAGTAAATGTTTTAGAGATGTTATGTTAGCTTATTTCTGTAGGATGCTCTTTTCACCTCAACACCTACAAACTGAGATACAATTATTACTAAACATTACTAAAAATAAAATGTAATGTTAAAATGATTGTGATATATGTATTAAAGACAGTTTTCATGTTAGTATAACACAATCATTCTAACAGATGGTGACACACTAGTAACTACATGTGTACACATCGATACCCAATGCACCAAAACCTAACTTTTAATCAGTTTAAGATTAAACCAAATGTATATTTAAAGTGCTAAATCATGTACCGCACACACACATTAACGCATATTATGTTACCCATGAAAATGCTTTACGTCCAGGCAGCCCAATCATTTTAAATGGACTGCCAACCCAGCACATCTAAAACAGGACAAGAAGCACATTTATAAAGCTTTCTCCAGGCCTTCGCAGTGGTTCTGTGAAGCCTATTATGTGAATTAATTTTATCTAATACCCGCATACATCACAGTGTAGCCAGACAGTGCTAGGCCCCTGTGATTTTAGGCTCTATAGCAATCACATGGTTTGCTGTGGTTAAAATTGTCATGAACTGTACAATATTTATCATATGTCCCAGTTTTAAACTGTAATATCACCTTCATGGTTAAATATTTTTACAGTATTCAGAAAATACCTGAATGTCCAATGGAAGCTTCTGTTGTTTCATTGAGTGCTTTGTTCCAGAAGACACAGCTGTAGCTTTGCTTTCTGTCCAATATTTTTATTGTGCTTGTGGTATTATAAAAACCATCTTCATTCTGAATATGAGAAGTATTTGCTGGAGAGCTTATGTTGACACCATTTCTTATCCAGTAGACATCTGCCTTTGGAAAACCCACTGAATGGCATGTCAGATATATTTGACTGGCTGATTCATGAAAGGACATCTGAATATCTGTGTATGGTGCTACAAGAAAAATCAAGAAGATCAACAAAATATTGCAATTGAAAACTGTAGTATGTATTGTACACCTCCTGCATATCTTACAGCTATCCCAATACTTTAATAACAGATACTTCCAGTGTTACCCATATCACAGAAGAATATTAGTGTATTGGAGAAACAATCCATTTCATTCATTTTTGTGATCCTACAAAAATATGTAAGCATGGACAGTGGGCATCTGTTACTCAAATCTACCATAGAGAAGTTCATATCCACAATTCAGTGTGTAAATACCCTAAAAATAGTGATGAAATGATGAAATAATTATGACATTTGCCAGGGTTTGATTTACTAGGGGTCCGAATTTTATTCAAAGCTGTGAACCTGAACTTAGAAGTGAATCCCATGGAAGATTATAATGGAAGAATTGTGTTGCTAAATCCTGATCATTTTTAGGGTGAATAGGCAAACTACTTTTTAGAAAAGGCATGAGATGCTGGGCACTGCAATGGGGGACATATACCAGTGCGAAAAACAAATTACAGAAAATAGCGTGCAGCGGGGAGAGGATCTTCCATGTGGCTTTGAAGGGAATATTAAAGGAGAACTATGGGGTTAAGGCTTTTCCCCATAGTTCTCCGGGTAATGGGAGGACACAAACTAGCGTCCTCCCGTCACCCTAAGCTCAGTATACAGCTCGCGGTATACTGAGACGCCACAGTATACCGCAAGCTACTGCTCGCGGTATACTGAGACGACGAAGCTGAAGCGGATCCCGACAATTATGTCTGGATCCGCCCAGCTGCGTGAGTGACAGCTGGCTCTGCTTATCTAGAGGCAGAGCCAGCTGTACCCGCCCCCTCCCCCGTCCGATCCACCAGTCAGCGCTGGCGGATTGAAGCGGGGAGGGGGGAATCCAGCCCTTCCCCTGTCACGGAAGAGGGCTGTGACAGGATAGAGAGGTGAGCGAACGCCGGTGTGTGTTCGTTCACCTCCCGATCTACTGAGCCGACCTGTGACAGTCTCATTGTCACAGGTCGGCTAGAACTATGAGGTGAGTGAAAAACACTCACCTCAGTTCTCCTTTAAAAATACACAAATCCATTAAATAACATGGTTGGGGATTCTTTAAACTGTATGTGGTGTTACAGTACACACAGTATGATTTTCAAAGACAGTCTCCCCAACAGTGTACGCTTGCAGCGCATCTTTGACTGGGGAGTCTATTTTTTTTCTTTTACCTACATATGGCAGCAGCATACCACTTGATTCAATTCAGTTTGGAAAAAAGGCTTTTTTTAGGTAGCTTTAGCAGCGACACATGCTTTTTTATCAAACGGCAATAGGCCCACTTTTGGCGTATAGAAATTGCTCAGTAGTTCACTGGAGCTGTCACTGTTTTCACTAATGCAAAACAGTGGGAGAACAGTTTACGGGACCACTAACATCTTATCAACCACAAAATAAAACAAAAGACAAAACAAAATCCCCAAAAAGAAGAACAACAAAAAAGAAGGCAGCAAAGTAAAGTTTCCTAACTGACCCTAATATCTTCCTGTTCAGTTTGTCAGCTTTTCCTGCAACAGCTTACAATTCACTGACACTATGGCGGCTCTGCCCCCACCCCCACCCCCATTTTTATAGTGAGGTGGCTGACTTAACCAAAAGCCCCTTATTGGCACCTCTAAGCCTGCTGGCCATAGTTTGAAATAAATGCAGTATGTTGTATTTTAAAAATACTTTCAAGGTTAAATCAACACATAAATTTGGCAAGGCCATGAATCTCAAAGCTATGGTAGCAGCGAACCCAAACCTCGTCCCTCCCTAAGAAATGGAACTTCTAATGTGATGAACTCTCCATTAAAAGTTGGATTTATACAAAGGATTGTAGTAGGTTTCAGATATCTTGGGATGAGTCCTTTTTTTAATAGAGTGGGGAAGAGTCAGAATCAGTCAGGTTTTTACTCCTGTGTTCGTGTCTGCAGGAGCAATTTGCTTTCTTTTTCTGTCCCAGGAAAGAAAATGTGGGGAAATCTCACAAAAAAAACTGGCAGATGTTCTAACACTTCCCAACTTTATCCAAAAAAACATTCATAGACTTATATTGTTGATGCTGGTCTGGCTCCGTGGATGCTATAATTTGCAGTATCCTAGTGTCAGCTTATCGAGAAAATGTAATTGTCATTAAACTTTAAATCAAAGATAAAATACTTCCTGAAGACAATTATTACTGACTTGCAGAATAACTGGAATTGTTTAATTACTACCATACACTGCAACAGTGCAGAAATACTGTATATGAATAACACTTTGGCAACTTACCTAGGACTTCTAGTCTAATTTTATTGAAGTCAGATCCTTCAGACTGTAACATACAAAAGTATGCTCCTGCATCAGTGAGCTTTACATCCTTAATTTGAAGAATGGCCTCTCCTTTTATCAGCTCTTTCGTCAACAAAGAGGCTCTCCCATGATATGGGTTCCCCTGGTGAATTGGTTCCTCCTTTCCATTGGTAAACTTTACTACTTGTGTTTTCTTGTATGGATCATGATGTTGCCAGGAGACTTTCAGCTTATTTAGATCTTCATCTTTTTGGAATGGAAAGTGGCATGACATTTTTACTGTATCCCCATATTTTACTGTGTAAGTTGATTTGGGAGCTGTTACTACAAATAAAGCTAAGCAGATAAAACAGAATAACAAATATCAATATCAGTTGAATATAATTTACAGTACTCAAAAGGCGCAACCAAAAATTAATGTTTTAGTGACAGGTGAAACTCACAGGCTGAATCAGTACTCGGCTTCTTATATATCTGGGATACTCCAGCTGTAGAATCTACCTGCCATAATTCCTATTGCCTCAATTTAAAGGGATGTTCAGATACCAGTTCAGATACCACTGCCGAAACGTTTCATGCAAACTACCAGGTTTGCAGGGGTTGCAGCTGCAACTGGGCCCAGGCACTCCACCACTGTCCTGAAATCATTAGTCTGTATTGTTTTAGAAACACATGACACTAAACAAAAATGTATCAGTAAATGGTATCTGTGAGTACTTGGACAAGTATCAGTACTTGTACTTGGTCTAGTTTGTACTTGGTCTAGTCTTGGAGCTGGAACATTATCAGTACTCAGTGGCGTCACAAAGGGGGTGCAGCCTGCACCCGGGTGCCACCATTAGAGGGGTGACACCAAAATGACTGACAGTCATTTTGGTGTCACCCCCCTATGAAATGTCGGGCACTCAGTCACGGACCGAGAGCCTGACAGTGTCAGGACAGAGGAGGGGACCCGGCGGCATACCTCATTCCACCGGGTGAACGTCCCCTCCTCTCTCTGTCGGCGTCCTTTACCACCGGCAGGCGCCAAAAATACTATGACATCACAGAGGGGTGCCACCCGGTCTCTGCTCCGGGTGTCACCCAGCCTCGGGACGCCCCTGTCAGTACTTGTACAGAGTACGGTTCTTGGTATCTGGACATCTCTACAATTCATCTCTTGATTTGTACTGACGCTGTCCTTCCTTCTGGAGGGTGGCTACTTTTGTTCCCCATGGTTCCTGTGTATGTTGTAAAGTAGCCACTGCTCCAAGCTCACTCCTGTGATGGACTAAAATTTCAATACAAATGAGTAAACTAAACATGAGACTGAGTCCACCCCAGGAGCGAGTTTGGAGCGGTGGCTACTTTACAACATACACAGGGACCATGGGGAACAAAAGTAGCCACCCTCCAGAAGGAAAGACAGCGTCAGCACCAATTCAGAGATGGTTTGAGATGAATTGTAGAGATGTCCAGATACCAAGAACCGTACTCTGTTCAAGTACTGACAGGGGCGTCCCAAGGATTTGAGGATCTACAGCTGAGTGATACACAAAGAAGATATATTTTTTCAATAGTAAAAGTACTTGACTGCCTGTTTAAGGTTTAACTCCTCAGTTTAGTGTCACTTTAAATCCTCCATAATGCAAAATGCATGATCAAAAAATCAACTCCAACATGCATCCAAGCGTACAGCACAAATGTGCACTATTGGTTGCTTGGATGCTAGACACCTCGAGCTGTCTGCATCCTAGCAACGAAGGATGCTAGGCTGCTCAAGCCACCTAGCAACCATGTGGGAGGAGATCCATTAATATATTACATACCACTCTTGTGCAATCAGTTCCCCATCAGGTCCGCTCTGACGGCTGGTGGGAAGAGCCGTTGTTCCCTGTGTATAATTTGATTAACTGGAATTATTCTTCAGAATGACTGGTCTCTACTGCATGAACAACTCATTCATTCAGGGCCATCACTTACACATCAGTTGTATGCAGCAGCCTTAGCGTCCGTTGATTACAAACTATTATTTACATGCCAGCAGCAGCCTTAGCAAATAGTACCGCCTAGTAACAAAGGATGCTAGGTGGCTCAAGCTGCCTACCTTTTAGCTTCTGCTGCTTAGTATCCTTTGATAGGAGGCAGGCAACTTCAATAGAGTGGATTTGTTTTCTATGCTATACATTACACATAGAATAAATGTTTATATGCATACAACGTGAAAAAGCCAAAATACTCTTCCCTGAACATGGGACTCGGCAGTTCCAGGACTACGGCTCTGAACGCTACTCTACTAGATGGATCTAAACTCCACCCATGTGCATGGACACATTGGATTTAATAGAGCTGTGTTCAGATCCGTAAAAAAAATGCTGTAGATATCTAAACACATCATTTTTGTGTCCATGCGCATGAGGTCTAACTCTCCAGCAAACTGAAACATTAGTTCCGAGTGGACTTATCATTTAAAAAGTGTGTGGGGTGTGTGTGTGGCATGCATGCAAACATGTGTGAGTAAAGTGTTTGTATAGCCAAAACTTTTTCTTTATGATTTGAATTGAATATGGAGTTAAAAATGTTACTTTTGTTGCTGTCTGTGTCCTGTAGCGGAGATTTCTCTTCACGCCCTGTTCCAGAGACACAACAGGAAGTGAGAGGAAATCTCTACAAAGTAAGAAGAATTCCCCTCCAAAGTAAGTGTCTCCAGAACAGGTGTCCCCATTGGAAGATTTTCCTTCACCTCTCTAAGTGATACTGGTCACCTGAACAAATAGAGGGGGTAAATCTACCTAGAGGGGTAGAAATACAATAATAATGATCGAAATAAAAATTAGAGGCTTTATAATCTACTCACTCTATCCAAAACAACAAAACATGTTTTGTCTATACATAACCTTTAAATGTAAGCAACGTGGAGAACCATCAAATGGTGACTTACCTAGTATTAACGTGCGGAATTCAGACATCATAAGGAGAAAAAATATTAGATATGTCATGTTTACTCTGCAACAATAGAAACAGAAACATAATACATTCTTGTGAACACTTTAGAGATACGTATCTTAGTTTTATTGCTTAGTTTCAAATTAATAATTTGTAATTCATTAATACATAATGATTTAAAGATGTATATCTTCCGCCCTAGCAGTCCAGATGTGATGCAGGCCCTTGAATATCATTACTGACATAAGGAGACAGGATTTTTAATATATTCAAATGCAGCTATATTTGTATACCAGCACATTCTCAGCATAACAATATAATGGGGCCAATTCATACATTTTCCCCCCAGCTATATGCAAGGTGAATTCTGTTCGCACGGCATTCCCACCACTAGTCCTCAGCTCCATCCAGTGGCAGGAATGCCATGCATATGGCTTGGCAGAAAATGTAGAAATCTTCCCCAAAGGGTACACACACCTGCTCTCCTGCTTGTCCTAGCAATCTGTATTAAATACATTAGAAAGTGCAACATTAATTCTTATAACAAAGGCAAAAAAACTATCCCAAACAATCTAATGTGCCGGAATGAGGGCATGAAAGTGGTTACAATTGTGTCTGTGGACTCAGCATTGATAAAAAATACAGGCAGGTTAACAGTCCATATACCAAACATTTCACTTAAAATTGGTCTCTCTACCCAAAACGGGATGTTTCCGTTTTTGAGGTTGGGAAGTTAAACCACCTGTTGAGATCTGAATTTGCACACTTGATCTGGCCATTATAGGGGGTTCCCACTCCTATTGGATATTTTAAATGTTATATTAAGGAGAAAGTAACAGGGGAGCTGTAACGTGGAAATGGGAGTAAGAACACCCAAAACTATGGCAGAGTGATCCTACTCTTGGAGTATTTAAAGAAACACCGTCAGTCACCTAAAAAAAGTCCAGATGAACATTCCCTATAATTAAAGAGGTATTATACTCACCTTTCCGATGATCAGAGTCTCCTACCTTTGCTTTATTACAGCGCTGCAGTCTCTATCAGAGCATTTGACACTTCCTGGAGAGTCGGATGCCTGTGTCCCTCACTGTGCGCTGTGGCTCCATACTCTGACCTCTGTGTCACTGCTGTGTCGTGTAGTGACATAGGGGTTGGAGGATGGAGCCACTGCGTGTGTGGGAGACACAAACATCCGACAATCCCCAAAGTGTCTAAGACTGAAGCTTCTGATTGGGGCTGCAGTGCTGGAGCAGAATGAAGGTAAGAGACAAAGCCTGCAGGAGAAGTGGGCATAATACCTCTTCTATTCTAGGGAACTTTAATCTGAATTTTTTTCGAGACTAACACTGTCTGCTGGATTGAGAAACTTGCCCAAAGATCTTCTGCATTCGACACCTCTGGGAGTGACGGTTAATGAGCCCATTGCCCCTATGGTCACTACAGGACACAGGGGCCATTGGAAATGTACTGGATGCAAATAATCTCTCAACAAGATCTTCTCTTCACCCCAGCAGAGTTCAGTGACACAAAATATTTATTTACATTTTTGTTCATATTTCTTACAGTCATCATGCTCCAACTCTCTCAAATCAGCTTCCCTGAACATCCTTTCTAGTCTAAAATCATGAGGGACAGAGCAGTTTTTAGCAGCTGTCCATCTACTAGCTTGGAGAAGGGAGGAGAGGAAAGCAGGGAGGAGCAGGAAAGTGACTTTTCTTGCTCTGCTAGTGTGTTTCAAGAGACACACACATGATAACACACAAGGATGATTCTATAGGACCCTGCAAGGGAAAGGAGCCACCCTAAAACAGGATATCAGGACCAGTGCTCAGGAGACCAGCTGATTCTGCAGGAAACTAACACTTTAAAACATCAAGGAGCAGTATACATTGTAAGTGATTTAATCAGAATTTAAGGAAACCTTAAGGAAATTTAAGGAAATCACAATGGGTAGGAAGTCCCAATAAATCATTTGTAAAAGAAAAGCAAATACAAATCCATAATACTAAAAAATGCTCAGCAAAACTCGATTTCCAATAAAATGTATGATTTCTTGGCCTGATCTAACCTAAGTTACTGTGGAAAGTGCAGAATTATTTTCTTAAAAGGTCTAACAAATGAGGCAAGACTCAAAATGGAGCTGAGAACAGATATATATTTATAAAGGCCTTCATTAAAAAATGTTCCTGAAGAAAATATAGATGACCCATAGAAGGTTTGTGGGCCCACCCAAAAACAATGAAACACCTGCCAACCTTCATAAAGAATCTGGGCAGATCTCTGAGAATAGTTTCAGCTGAACAAAAGTTATCACTGAAATATGCAGTCAGTATAGGTCACAAGCTGTGTCAGACACCTTGGTCTCACCTTGATAAGCACAGAGTAAGTCCTGGAAACAAACTATTTGGTTGATCATTTTAAGCTCTTGTAGGAATCCATGAGGATTTTGGGTCCATTTCCCTATTTCCTGTAAGGGGAAACTTAAATCAATAGTGCTCAGTTTCTTAACTTGTACGATATATTCGCTATATGTAATGGCAGTTGGTCTCAGTATGAAAAATCTGTTGGACAATTCTGGAATTTGTTATCAAGGCAGGAACAGCACAAAAACAAGCTGCTATGGCCTATTAAAACCATAAATCTGAGTATCAACTGTAGGGTTGGGATAAGTATTCCTGACTAGCATCTAGTATCTAGTCTGGCAATAAGATCAGAAAAACTGTCTATATTTAAATTTCTTCCAAAACCAATTTCTTGGACAAAAAACTTTTTAATAACTTTCACAATGCGTAAGCTTGCAAAACTGCTCAGCCATGTAAAGTTTATCAGTGCATAATGTAGCTGTGGTAAAGGTTTGTAGCTCTGCAAAAAACTCAGTTTAAAGCAGGGGTCGGCAACTCGTCAATCACAGGTAAGTGATGGATAGATCACATCCCCGCAGTGCTAACCCTTCATCTGAAGTGCTTTTCAACAAATACTCCCCACATATATATAGAGGAAAGCAACATAGCTACATGCACTTCTGCGCTGATCCATGCCAATCCTCCTGTAGCATCTATCCCAGGTGCTTGAATGTGATATCACATCCAAGCTTCTGGAATGGATGAGAAATGTAGGTGAGTGGGGCTCAGCGTGCAAGAACAGGTCATTTCACTGCCGCTTTCCTGCATTGATCAGCATTTGGGGGTGGGGTGGGGAAAAGGAAGCATAAGGGAGGAGGGGAAGGATGAAGAAATATCACCACCAGCCAGGGGATGTAAAATGCTGGAATGCAGGGGATGCTGGCAGCTGGGTGCAGGGAAGGCCAACCAGGCCAAAACTCAAACCAGTCTGCCAGGACAGAACTCAAGCAGCTAGCCAGACAAGCTAGAATACAGGTCAGCCAGGGCAGAACTTAACCCAAGCAACCAGGCCAGAATTCAAACCAGCCAGTTGGGTGAGAGCTCAGACCAGCCAGCCACACCAGAATTGAGACCAGCTAGATTAGAATTAAAATCAGCGGACCAGTTCACAACTCAACCCAGCTATCTAGCCAGCCAGGTTATAGTTTCTAGTTAATCTCCTTTAAAAAATAAGGTTGCTGCACCATAGTGATCTTTGATTTCTATCATGTTCTTCAGGTAGCGCCCCACCAATTAAAGACTTATGTTATGAAATAAAATATAAGTATCATTATAGGTGCTGCTATTACAACTCTTTTTTTCTTCCCTGTCTACTAAACTATTACGCCCAGCCTTAGAATTTGCACCAAGGCGCTAAAATCTTATATCTCCAAAAACATCAGTTGATGTTGAAAAAAGACTTGTGAGCTACCAAAGACAGAGTAGTTAGCTTGAAAATTAGGGTTAAAAGTTAGTTCCATGCCCTAGGGCCCCTGTTTTCCTGGCAACTTTAGTCCACAGCACTGGTCCCTAATAGTTCCCTGAGTATGCTGTCTGTGGTTCAGACCTACTTTAAATTAAGATCAGTGACACTTACTGTCAATGGGACTGCCAGGTGCCACAGAGAGAGGTCACTGGATAGGGCCCATAAAACCTTTGCTATGTAGTTACACCCCTGAGATTGACCCCATGGACATGCAAGCACATCAGATAGAGTCCACCTCATTTTCTGGGTGTTGTGCTGTACAGCATTATCTAACCCTTTCCTTCCCAGTCTGACTATCCCTTGCCCGCTCTTTTCATTCTCTGGATTTCCATTGTTTCACTCATGGAGGCTCAGCATCACATGGACATTACCTAGAGTGGTCTGCATACAAATACAGTCTATCTAGGCACACCCACTCCTCATTTTTATATTGGCACAAATCCTCCCTAGAGCCAGCTCACTGCATACATCAGGGCTGAGTGTTCTTGAGCTAAGTACTCAGTCAGGGTGCATAGTTTTCCCTGCTTCTACTTCATTCATGCTGTGTATCTGTGTTTTTTTGCATCTTTCCTGCTAACAGATTGTTTATTCCCCCACCAGTCATCAAGTAGTGCTTTCTTACTCAGAACTATCATCTTCGGCAACTTGCTATTTGTGAAATAACTTAGCTGGAGATGGTATGGGGCTGATTGCTCATGGTTAACTAGTCTACAGCAATCTAGACAGTAATTTGCTATTGCAATAAAATGTAGTCTGCAATCTTTTACAATCGTTTGTTACTTCTTTAATAAATACCCACAAAGGTTTATTTTGTGAAAATATGGGAAGGTAAGGTTCACTTCAATTTTTTTTTTAGTATTGGATAGGGGATAGGGAAGTTAGAAACTCTGTCAAGTTTTTATTGTGGTCTGTGTTGTATGGCGGGGATTTCCCCCACTTCCTGTCCTGGAGGCCCCCTGCATCTGGGAAAAACGTGAGGGAAAGTTTCCCAAAAGTGTTACATAGAAGCTTAAAAAAGCCCCATACTGCCCATCTAACCATAGCCCACTTACTTATAGATTGGTGGAAGATTTAGAATGTCTTTTTGTGACCCCCATTGGCAAATTTAACTTTGACAACAGCAAAAGAGGGAAAATCTTCCCATTAGGGACAATACAAACCAGATAAAAAATGTTACCCTTTCCCAGTCTTCA